CAATATTTTGCTTAACTAAAATTTTAGCCCACCCAACCCCGGTTAATCTTAATGTAAAATTAGCCTAGCCCTTAACCTTGTTTTCTTTTAAGATTAGATATGTTTAATGTTTATTGTGCAATAAGAACATATTTTTAAAATTAAAATATATATAGTTTTTAATTAATTATGTTGAATAATAATTGAATAGTTCAATGTTATTTTGAATTAAAATTAAAATTGATTATTTTTAAATTAGTATATTTTTTTTTATAATAAATTCCAAACTTTTATTTACTTTTATTTCTAATAGTCCACAATTAAAATATCTCGTAAGCTCAACGCATGCAAAACTCTATTGTACACGGCCAAATAAAGACGTTGGTGCACTGAAAGTGTTTAACGCGCTTGTTGTTGCCGTAATGTAGTTGCTACCTAACTTCGTAATGCGACGTAATATAGTAATCGATCATCTCCTATCGAGTTCATTTTTTCATCCTGATAGACCCCAGAACATCATTTTCTCCTAATTTTTGTCAAATACGATAAATTATTTTACGGATATGTCATATCTCTATATTTATTTAGACCAATCGCAACGATCTGGAGGATTCCGTTGGGTTCTGTTGACAGATTTGCCAGTTTATAACTGTTGGAAACTTTTTAATATATAAAATATATTATCGACCTGTATACAATAAGTTATTATATACGTTATAGTTAATAACGTTAAAGTTAGTTAACCTTACCTAACCTAACCTATCATATAAAGTACAACTTCCGATTTTCATCTATTTGCTAAAATATTATGATATTGAATTTTCATTTTTTTATCAGTTCATTTTATACTAAGTAATATGAGTACGTACGTAATATATTTTATTCGTTCATTTAGAAGAAAATTAAATCCTGTATTTCGAACACAGACGCATAAAAATAATACTTGTCTAGAATATAATATCGTATTGATGTAATATAATATATTTTATTAAAATAAAATGTATAAAACACATTTTAAAATTAAATTTTTCTTTGAATTTAAAATGATAAGTAATTTTCAGATATTCACGTATATCGTAAAACAGCTTTCACACATTTTCAAGGTTTTTCTAAACTATATAATATGATTTATTCGAAATATTAACTTTAATATACATTTAAAAAACCTTTTTATATTTATTAAATTGTATAGAGGCTTTCAATATTTTTAACAATTAATAAGCTTTTAGATTACAAAGATTACAAGGTACAATTCACACCTTTTTGTATTTATTTTGATACAAAATATAGGATTTTGTGTTCTAATGCTATATGCTATATATTTTTAATTTTAATTCGTTCAATTTACTAATTTTGGAAATTATTTAAAATCACTTTGCACTATTTTAAAAATATTGTATACAAATTATACTTGAAGTTTATTAAAAATTCTGTTTAAATTAATATAAATAATCTTACCTGTACTACGGATATTAGTTGTGATGGAAGTTTCGAATGCATTATATGGTAGTACTAGCAATTATATTATAGTAATAAGTAATAACAGTGTTTAGCTCATAGTTTTTTACACACTGGCTACTGACCCGTTCACGTGCATAAAGGTGTTTCCTAAATACTATAATACAGCTTGTTTAGCCTATTACATTATTACATCAATCATAATAACACGTGACCTTCACCCTAAAAATTAAGCAGACAAAAAAACAATTCCACTACAGTTTAAATTACTAGATAATATATTACACACCTATGTTGTAAATAAAAATTACGCTTAAAGCCAATGCAGATCCATCTTTCATCAAATAAATAGTAATTACCAATATTGTATTTATTATGTTTTCTTATATCTTAAATATATAATATAATCAACTTGTAATGCACTATAATTCCATACTAAGAATTTGCCCGTTTATAAAAATAAAATAAAATATATGATATGTATATAATAGAATTGATTTTAAATAAAACTTTTAAATCGTCGAAACGAAAACGTTCTACTAAATTAAATTTCATACTCAGCTATATTACATTTACAGTTACAAGGTATTTGTATTCCATCGTGTACTTGTAAATCGTTGTAAAATTTTATTGCAACATTTAATAATATTTTATTTCTCAGTTGTTTCCCATCATTTAGTAATTTGTTGTTTATCGTTTTTTTTGTCATCTCAATCAACAGTTCCGTTTAAAAATAAAGAAAAATTTTGTCGTGACATTTTCTTTTTTTTCAAAAGCAATTTTAAATTGATTAAATTGATGTTATGTCCACAATACTTCAATATAATAGATAAAAAATGCAGGCATGCTTCAAAAGTCTATCCTCAAACCAATATACCATAAAAAAACATTAAAACGTGTACGGTTCTAAAACAATATTATATTCTTACAATTTAGATAGCTACAATACGTTATTGATTAGTTATTGAGGGCTTTAATATTATATATGAATGGTAAAAACTACTATTACGATCGTTTATATTTTTCTAATACAACAATATTAAAGAGTAGCACAAATGTTGCAGTGTTTTGACAGCGCTTATCGGCAAACTTTAAAAAAATGAAAAACGTTTTATTTTTTTTGCACACATTCTTAACAAAAATAAAAAAAAATGTGCAGTTAAGAAAAAACAATAAATAAATTATCACACGAGTTTCGAGTAACTGATAAAGTTAATTTCGTTTCTTTCAGAACCCTTTTTTAAATCGTTATATTTGAGGTAGTAAACAACGTTGGTTGAAAATATTTAAACACAAAAGATACTATTAGGATAGTTAATTCTTAACAAAAACGTCTAAATATCTGATAATGATAAGATAATATTTTCGAAAAAATTATAAGTTATTAACACTGCGATTACACATTGACTTTTATATAACCTAAATATATTTTCAAACTTATCTACTCCTATATCGATTTGAATATATAGAAATTTCCAATTTTTCAGCTATTTAGACGATAAAATCATAAATGTGGATTATTCAGGTTTAGGGTAATGTTCAGAAATACTAAATTTCGGAGTCAAAAATATTTCCGATCAACGTTAGGATAAATTGATTATTTTTGAGTTGTTCACACATATAATTCAGTCACACAGTGACAGTAACAACCCGTACGGGCACTTGGTGATAAGTAATTTATGTATACGGCAGTATACACACTAATAATTTTAATAATATAAGTGCTTTTTGAAGACGTTTCAAATTGATACGCATTGTTGAATTCAAAACGATGTACTTTGTGCGAAATATTCACACCTCATAAAACAGCATTTTAATGCTTATATTTCAAAATAGGTTTTTTTGAAGAATAAAAATGAATTTCATTTTTCCATTTAAATCTCATTTTATTTGAATTGAAATGTAAGGACATGTTTATCGTATGGAACATTTTATTTCATTACCATTTATCATTCACGTTATTAACATTATTTACCCGTATTTCAAATAACACGTCGCTGCATTGCAATATTTTTTGAACAGAGGAATTTAGTTATTAAATATCAAGATACAAATAATAATTGCTGCTATTAATTTTGGACTAAACCTAAACTGAAGAATAACATTTACGTGGTCAATTTGTCGTATTAGGGTTGATGAAGGGGAATTCGTAGGTGTGAATACATTTTGTTCTGTCGTCGAAGTTACGGGTGCAGAGCAACGGTATTGGTTTAACAAGGTTCGCATAAGAGCTGATGATCATAAATGACGTTCGAATTGAAGTCGTACCAAGGAAATATAAATATTGCGAATAAGGACATTTTCGAATCAGGGATATTAATCGTGTATACAATATTTTAATATTAACTTGTGGTAAAATCGATTAGAAGTCCGAAAACACGATTGAATGCTATAATGCCCAAATGAGTGCACTACATGGTCCGGTCTTGTACGGTTATAACATACAAAAACTATTGAATCGTCGGTTTGGTCCGGTTCAATAGTTTTTAGGAGTAGTTCGATCCAGTCCTCAGATCAAATGTATTATTTTCAGTTCAGTCTAGTTTTAAATAAAAAAATGAAAATCAGTCCGATCTGGTCTCAATCCGGTTCCAATCATGGTACTTAAAATCTAAATACAGATATTGTTATGTAAACAAATAAAACGAAAAAAAACCTACGACTTTAGGTATATATTTATTTATATAGTCAGGTAGTCCAGTTCAGTGACGTACAAATAACAATACGTTATTCCTAAATGAATGACGGTTTACCAATCCTCTTTAAAACGGCTATGCGTCGGAGTATATTATTATATTTTATATTATTTTATATGTGTTATATATATCGACTGATGTGTATAACGTAAGTTTTTGCGCAAAAAAAATGTCTCGTGGTGGATTTTCACGTGTACCCATAACGTCACCAGATAAAGAGATTGAAACCCGAAAACCACACCGACCATCGCCAACCATAAACAACGTCGTTGCGCTTACTTTACAGCAAGATGTATATGTACGTCGCGGTGATAAATGTTTGCAGATATAAGGTTATTTTTTTTATAGTCGATAACTTTGGCATTTTTTTTTTTTTTCTTTAAAAATCTTTCGCAGCGTTATGCCTTTTTATATAAAATTCGATTCTTTCGCGTGTACGATCCTAGTGTGCAATTTTTATCTCGCGGATTTTCTTCTCAATTCTTACGTTTTATACCTATATTGGTATGTTTGGGGGGCGCTCGCAGTTATATGTTTGTCGACGTAATACCGTTGTCGTTATGTTCGCATTATAATGCACTCCATCTGATTACGTGCCGTTGTATCGCGTTAAATGTTATTTTCTCGATTAATGTTTTCCAAAAGATATATATTTTCTAGGAACCGTAAATAATAAGAACAAATAAATAAATCGTTTTTACGGCTCCTTCAGCCACCGGTCCGTATCAAACTATCGTTTTGTTGCATTTATCCAAATCACAACGGCTCTTTTCAAATCTCGCTTAAAACGTTGCGACGATCGAATGTTTAACCGCGTCTGATGTTTGGTTTTTTTCATTTATTTTTTTTCGCCCGTGTCTCGAACAGATGACGGTGGACGTTACGCGGTGAAGCCGCCGCGGTGTTTGACGGTGCAGAGGAGAACGGACGCACGACCATGAGCCTGTTCAACACGTCGTACCTGATGGGCAACGACACGGTGTACGGATGGGGCACCAGGTACTTCTTCACGTTCTACTCCGAGTTCGGCGACGAGAAGACCGAGTCGGCGGTCGAGGTGACCGTGCTGATGGTGATATTCGCCGTATCCGTGGTGGCCAACGTGTCCATCGCGTGGGCCGTGCTCCGGTACCGGGAAATGCGCACCGTCACCAACTGTTTCCTGCTCAACCTCACCGTGGCCGACCTGTTGTTCGCCGTCACCACGCCCGTGCTCGCCTACGTGCGCATCCTGCCCGACTGGCCGTTCGGCGACGTCGTCTGCCGACTGCTGCCCTACTCCCAGGTACGTTAAACGCTAACGGGTAACGTTTATCACGTTCTCGGTGGCGGGCGCGAACCATTTCTTTAGTGTTTCCGATCGATTTCGCGTGACGTGATGGCGATTCGTAAGGGGTGCAGAACCGCGTTTAATAGGGAGCAAAGGTGGGCTATTGCCCCGGGGCGGCAAATTTTTGAGGATCAACATGAAATAAAAAATGTATAATTTTTCTCGGATGACTGTATAACTATAATACATTTATTTTACATATATTTACATTTATTCTGAATTGTAATTTCCTTAAGAGCGGCATATTCTAATTTGCCCCGGGCCGGCTACCTAGCTTAACGTGGCACTGGATGAAGGGAGGGCAATAACTGACGGCTGAGAAAAACGAACGTGTTGTGCGCAGCGTTTATGCGTCGCATCGGTTACGGAACGCGCGCGATCACTTGGAGTGCACGTGTCTTATGTCCACCCGCTGATTGGCAGCCGCTTTTCACGCTCCTCTCCGCTTTCCGTTTCCCGGGTTCGTACGATTGGTGTCTTCGGACGTTCGACCGACTGAAGTTCAAAGTGATCAACACACCTTTTATTGTTCTGCTGAGAAGACTGTTGGTACGCGTAGGGCCATAGCAAGGGAGTAGCGAAAGGTGCCTACGCCCCCGGGGGGAAATTCCCGGGAGACCGCAAAAATGAAAATCATGTATTTAATATTCAAAATTACAATGGTCAATGTGTCGTATATTTTGTCTACAAAATCTTTACCATCCTTCGTGTTAAATAAAGCAATCATTGAAAATAATATCTAATAAACGTAATATTTTTGAATTAAAAATACATAAGGGCGTATTTTGAAGTTTATGTTTGGTTGCTACGGCACTAGGTACGCGACCAAGGCGAGATTAAGGACCTATTGGGCCCCGGGGCTAAAATTTTATATAGACCCATTTGACAAAACATGTTTTACAAAGGCGCTCCTTATTCTCGCAGAACGATAATATTAGAGTTAAAAGAAAATATTAGACGGGAAATTACAGCTATCGATGTGCATATCCTACAAAGAGCTACGGACAGTATGAAAAAACAGATAGCTGACTTTATACAAAATGGAGGCGGCCACTTAAGTAATGTAATTTAAATATCTCGAGAGGGCCCCGGTGCTGCCGCCCCTGCTAGACCCCTCTTAATCCGGCCTTGTACATGACGTCCGATTTATTTGGTTCGCACATTGTCGTCGTTAACGTCGTCCGCAGAAAATTTCGTGTTTCTCTTTGGTAAACCTTTTCGCGGTGCGTTCAGCCAGTTCGTAAACGAACGCGAGTAAATACGAGATCGTTTTTACGGTTCACGTGATAAATTCGGATCGAGCGGAGAGTTTAGGTGTACCGAAGGAACCGAATGGTATGGTAACTGAACGTGGGGTCGGTCTCCTTCGGTTGAGTACTTTTCCCGAGACCGGTGGTACCCCTATCAATAGTTAAAATGATAAATATTATGGTCTTATCTGAAAATTCTTCGAAATTTTTGTTTTTATATTTTTCTAAATTTCATGAAATTGTTATGGAATGCGGTATTTTACTTAAATATTTTTTCTGTCTAGAAAATCAAAATTAAATTAATTGGTATAAATGAAAAATAAAACGTTAATTTCAAGTTAATCTGTAAGGAAATGAGTTGAGTTACTAAGTTTATTTAATTTATCAGTAACGAAATAAGTTAAGTTAATAAGTTAAATTAACTTAACTTTTAACTTATTGACTCATTAATGCCCAGGCTTAATAATACGTATTGCAGTGGGATGATTTCTCTCGGTCAAACCACCTGGTGCGACTGCTGTCGGAAAATCACGTGCGCTTAGATTTCTGGGATAATGCACTATTAACTTATGTGTATAAAGTTTACCGTTAACGTTATGAATCAGTTTTGACAGTCCGTCTTGTAACCCGTAGTTGTCAGCAACTGAAATGGACTGAAATCGAGTTATAAACGAGGCATTTTCATATTAAGTACTTACCACCACCCCATGATGTCTAACTTCACAAATCCGTTGAGCTGATCTCCACCCTCCTTGATTTCCAAATTTACTCCTATTACGATTAAAATAATATACTTTTTACGTATAAGACAAATAAATATTAATCATTTTTTTTCAATAGTCAGTGCAATCCACATCTGAATTTGAAATTAAAACTATTGTGTAGGAATCACCCTCTCTGAAAAGTTTATTAAACTGTCCTTCGGCCCGCCATTGGTTATTAGTAAGTGTTAACCGTCGTCGTTATTATATATCGGTTTTGGTCGACCAAATTATTAATTTTAAACATACAACTACATCATATAAATTCACTTCATCTACGACAACGTAACATATGCGTTACGATTGATTATAAATAAATAGTAATGATTAGTATTCGACTTACAGATGTATTCAGAATCATATTCTCACAGAGTGTGGTGATTGCTTCATATTTATTCGCGGGTTTTAAATTAATTTTCATTATTTTAGTATTTTTTCATAAAGTATTAATTCTTTCAGAGATGGAACTAGGAATTTTTACGCCTGGGTAAAATGTTAAAATTACGCCCTATCCATAGACTAATAAACAAATACTCAAATAAATTGTGTTCTTATAATCAATATACAATCGTACTTATTGAGTTTTAACCTAATATCAGTATTTAACGAAGTTAAAAATATCAAATTAATTGTTAATAATTACGAAAATTACACCCTCTAAAATATTACGCCCGGGGATAAATCCCCGACTTCCCCCCCTAGATCCGGCCCTGAATTCTTTAAATATAATTCACTACTTCGCCCTTTCATAATGCTAACACAAGCATTGTAACAACTATCATGTTATGCTAGCCTGTAACAAAAAAAAAATAAAATATTTTGAACACTTTATTGATCAACAGCATTAAAAATTATATCTTGCAGTTTTACCATCAAAATGATTAACACCCTTTGGGTACCGTTTAATTTTTAACTATAGAATTTAATAATTAATAAAAATATATGAAAATTGTTTAAAAAAAAAATTTATAAAATTAAAGTATTATAATTTATAATATACTACAGTAAAACCTGTCTTTTATGGAAAAATGATTCGGTCCTAGTGTCTGTAATTAATGTTTAAGTACATCATGCACTGAGTAAGAGGGAACTTAACTAACGCGAAAATGGAAATAATATTTTTGTTATGTACCTGTTTGCCATGGAGATACCTATTTGAATGTTATCAATGAATAAATATAATCTATATTTTTAGGATTATTTTGTTGTACTACATTTAATTTTTCGTTAGTGTTGTAACGTTTAGTAATGTTTTGTACTTATAACGCCTCCGACTTCATTAAGTTATTGTATATACGTATTCTTTATATTTTTTTTATTACGTAACTCAGTATGTCAAAAATCAATATTTGTTTAAATTGTAATAAAAATTAAAATTAATTGGATCTAATGAAAAAGATAAATGATCAGTAAAATAAATTTGGAATTTTTAACTAAATATGTATAATAAAAAGCTATTAAAATTTAAAAAATAATAAATAACTATGTATAAAATAAACAATATTTATTGTAACTTTTATTTTGTCAACCTATTTGAAAATGGAAACCTGTCAAAATGGAGAAATATTTGGTCCCGACCATTTCCATACTATACAGGCTGTACTTGTGTATATTCTATTAATAAACGTGAAATAAATCTAGATTATATTACGATAGACTAATATAAGATTTTTTTTTTCTAGAAATAAGATACAATGAAATCACACTTTATCTTAACTTATTATATTATCATATTATCAAAGAAAATTTTCATTATAGTGTATGGATACAGCGTTTTTATTTTTTATTTATTTTTTATTCGAAACGTCGTCGTTTTATTCAATATCAATTTTAATATATTTTATGAACAGTTATACTCGTATTTAGTCTTATAAATTTGAAAGTTAAAAAATTATTCTTGCAAGTTACGTTCCAGGAAAAAAAATCTTTTCAAATCGATTTTAATACAAATATTTGAGCGAAAATTCTAATAAAGAATATTATTAATTGTTAATTTATTCTTACCAATAGATAGATAGAATTGTATACGACTATATAAGTAGTTGATTAAAGTTGCAGTAATGTGGTCTTGGACACAATTTGAATTTAAATTAAATTATGTATTGTTCAAATTTCCATAATGTATTTTGTGTGTAAGAGAATTTTCGCTGTATGCATAATATTTAATGGCTGTTTGAAATTATTTGAACTAAATAAAATTTAGAAGTTTTAAACGGTTTTCCATACTGAAGGGATAACATTTCTCGGTACATAAGAATATAATACAAGACTTATTATGTTTTTATCTTCGTCGGGTTGGACAGAGAGTTCACTTTGAAATTCATAGAAACGAAAATGTTTGTCAATGCAAATGGCTACGTAAAATGTCTTTAATGTTTAACTCGCGTGTTGGAAAAAATTCAAACCGTCACGTTGTATTGCTTTTCAAAAAATATAAAAAAATATGAATAAACAATTATATATATAAAATCACAGAAAAGAGGAAAAACATTTCCAGGCTGGAATATCATCCTCGTCGTCTCCGAACATGGAAAATGAATATTTCATATACCGATTCGTATTCTGAGAACATACAACTCGATTGTACCAAACTAACGCGTTAATCAGATCAGTGGCTTTCAAACCTTCGAATTCTGCTTTCTTTAATTTTTTAAAACTTATGTTACGTTATCAGATCGCGGAGAAAACCAATGTGTTTCCTTATCGTAAGAAAATAAAACTAAAAACATCATCGTGTACGAAGAAGTAAAATTAACAACTTTGTAAAACACTTGAAAATACCTACTAAAAATATACTATTAATTATATAAATACCTACACAATATTATTACATACCCGTATTTTATAAGACCCCCAGTACTTTACTAATATAGGTAAAACAAAACAAATGGCACGGGCAAAGCTATGCGGGACATTTTTTTATAATTATTTAACTATCTCCCTT